AAGTCTAGCCGCGAATGCAGTTCTGAGTCTGACGACACGCTTGTCGCCACCCGCCTGGCTCTTGTGCAGGTAGAGAAGACTATAATCATCGCCAACACCATTGATGGAGTGAGTCTTTCGACTTTCGCAACGAGCATGGAGGGTCAGACTGTCTCAGAAGTCTGGAACAAGCCTGAAAACCATGAGACAAAGGAGATCGTGATGAAGTCTGCAAATATTGGAGAAGCTGTGCGACTGGCGGCTGGGGAAACAGAAGAAACCATCGAGAATGTGTTCATCCAACTACAGAGAAAGGATGCTAAGGAAGAAGCAATGCTCACGAAATTCATAGCCGTGACAGGAGAGCCAAGCAGCTTAGCCAAGGGAGCTTCAGAAGATGCTTACACTGCGGTGGACTCGACCCTAAGAAGCACAGAAACCTTCGAGCTAGACGCATCCATTATCTTCGTCGATCGCAACACTGCAGACACTCCTACACTAACCTGTGCATGCTCGACCGAAGCATCCACATCCGGTATATTCAATCTAAATCGCCTTGGCGATGCTCAAACAGTAAGAGAGGTGAAGGAGGCGGCAAATATTGGTCCAAGCGTAAAATTAGACATGCTAGAATCGACCCTTGTGTCCGAAATCGCTACGATTGTTTTCGAATGCGATCAAAGTACAGCCGTCATTTCAGAGACGATCCAGGTGCCGAGAGAAGGTGGCAAGTTCCTGCTTTCCACTGGTTCGGCCAAGGAAGAGTCGCTCAAGATCGAGGTCGATTGGACGAAACAGCGCGAGGACCAGTTGGAGGCGCTTTGGAAGAAGATCCTAAGGAACGAGGAAGGACCGTTGGAGTTGTTTGCCTCGGCAACCGAGGAAAGCGCTGCAGGTGTGAGCAGTCAGCTTCAAAAAAGTGCTCAGACATTTACTGTCACGACAAAGAGAGATGCTGCCAGGTCAGGCGAGCCAGTTTCCAAATCCATCCAGGAGTCCAAGATTGTTGAAGAAATCAACAACCTCCAACTGCACAGAGACGAACACCATCTTGAAATTGATAACATTGTCAAACTTGCTGCCTACGGTGGAATGGCTGACCTCAAAACTGGCTATGCCGAAGAGAACCACACTGCTATCACTCCCCAAATCGCAAAGGCTGAAGCACTCGCTTCGCAAGAGACGGTGAGACGCATCCGTCACGAGGAGACTGCGGAGAAGTGGCTGAGCGCCGCTTCGGAAGAGGTCATCGGCTCTGGTTTCGCCCTTGATAGCGGTCGTACTTCACAGGAACTCGCTGAGATCACAAAAACTGCCTCCAACGATGCTGAGCCAATCAAGTTTAGCTCCATGGAAGCTGCAGAAAGCTCAATTTCAACCAATTACGCGCTTAGCAGTGAAGCTAAGAGCCTTCTGGAGGAGTCTACTCGCAAAGAGGCAAGATATGGCGGTGGAGCAAATCTTCAGTGCGTGGCTGCTAGCGAGATCACTCCAGATACAGTCACTGCCGGCATTAGAAGAGAAGATGAAGTGGAAGAAAAGAGCTGGACTGTACAGGTAGCCAGACAGGAAGGCTCAGCCCTCTCAACTAAAGCAGCTTCGGAAGAAAGCATCACTGCCAACAAGGATGTACTCTGCACCCGGGTTGCAGTCGAAGAGATCTCGGCCACTCGTGCCGAAGTACACACTGGCCAGGCCACTGCTCTCGACTCCAGGAGCAGCGAGGAAACAATCTTCCACCTGAACTACAGCTACGAGAAGCAACCCACGGAAGTT